GAGAGAGAGAGAGGTGGATCGAAGCGAGTCGAAGAGTATCCTTCGAGTAGAGAGTAGAAGGGGCTATTCACGAAGAAGAGATGGCGCGACGGAACAGGAAGCGATAATATTTCATTCGCGGGACTAGAATATCATTTTTCAATAGCGTAGCTTAGCCCGGGAGTTATATCGACCGGCTATATCTTCTGAACGTTGCCCTTCGTTTTTCCTCCATTTCTCATTCCGTCTGCTTTTCTTCTCTCTCTCTCTCTCTCTCTCTCTCCCTCCTCCCCTTTCTCTCGCTTCCTCTCGTTCCTTTTGTTGCCGGGTTTGACTACCACTAGCAACCGTTGGGCGGTGGTAGCGGTGCGCGCTCGGGATCACCGGGATCCGGGGTGTACGTGTAAGCGGTCGAAAACGATGGCTGCTGCGTCGCGCGCCACTAAATTCTCCATGCAAATGAGATGGCTGATACGCGCGAAATATAAATCCGAAAAACCCCGAGAATATTTATGTCTATTATCCGAAGACCCTCCGAAACCGCTTTGCCTATCTTCCTTTCCCTCCCTCCCTCCCTCCCTCCCGCTTCCTCGTGATCGGCATCGAAATGCTTCCACCGCGGCGCGCTGATGGCAGAGGAGACGCGACGGAAGTGGTCGCGTGGCATATCTTACATATCGCGCGTCCACCAATCGAATCGATCCCCCCCAAATATCGATCTTGTTCGAATCGATCGCGGCGAGGAGCAGTTGTCGGAGAAATTGCGCGATTCCGAAAACCGAGAGAAATTGGAAATCCACGAAATCGTATCAACGAGCGTTTCTAGAGCGTTTCATAGGGCGATTTAACGATTCGCGACGACCGTCGTGGAACTGGACGCGTCATGGAAACCGAGCAACGCGCTAATTAGCGCGGCACGGTGACCAACGATCGTTTTAATCGCGCGCTTCCTATCGCTCGAAACGAGTTTCTCCAACGAGTTATCGCGCCGAGTATCTCGAGGTCTTTAACGCGTGGTGAGCGGGGTGGTGGTAGAATCGGCCTAGCTCGACTACTATGTCGATAAAGTTACTACCACGCGGCTTTAGCTTTAGTTCCACGCTTTCCATTGTCCGAACCAACGAGATTCCGATTCGCTACGCGTAAAACTCCAACTATCTTACGTAAGCAACGATTCATCCCTCGTTTCCTTATACGATCGTGCATTCTTCGTCATTGACCTTTATCGCTCTCTCTCTCTCTCTCTCTCTCCCCTTTTGTCTTTATCGAGCCACGTAGTAGCCGCGTTCCCATGCGGTGCAAAGGAGCGGTTTTCGACCCCTTCCTCCACCGTCTTCCACCACCTCCTCCTTCCGATTCTCGACAGGTCGAACGAGCCTTGGCCCAGAGCCAGCGTATTCATTCCAGAAACTAGCCCCCGATCTAAGGGGCCAATTATTTAATCAATTCCACCCTCTTAGCGGCCGGTATAGACACCGCATAGGCTATTCGGAGCTGGCTTCGAACGACGACAGTGGCGGGCGTGGACAATTGAAATCTCTCTGAAACCCTTGCCTTTCGAGACGACTCCGATCCCAATCGGAGGAGTCGGTCACACTGCCGAGCTATGCGCGCCCGTCCATTGTATCCCACAATGGGGGCACGATTTTGGAGGATGAGGCCAATTTTAGGCCGAGAAGAACTTTCGTCCCGCGGAAACGAAACTCGCAAAACTTCTCCCTCCATTTCGTCCAATCTCCGCGGCAAAATAAGATTATCCCCTTATTACGGCGTATTATCGTTGCATCGATCGTTCGAGATTGCGAAGAAAGCACGGGTATTCGGCTCGAATCGGTTCGACACCGCAAAGTCACGAATTTCGTAGAGATAGGTAGGTAGCTCGTGTCTCTACCGACCACGCCAACGTCGTAGATCACGATTCCCCGGAGAGGGAGAGAGAGGGAGAGAGAGAGACCCATCCTCTTGACCGCGTCCATCCGCAATCGTACGTCCCAACGTTCGAACGTTAAACGTGATTTCGGACTCACGGCCGCCGATTCCGCAAAATTAATCCGGGTCGAAGCCATCGATTCCCCCTCCTTCCTTCCCCGCCCCGTTTATTTTCCACCCACCGACCACCTCGGAAATTTAATCGAACTCGTTCTTTCCGTGAACGAAACGCGCGCGCGTGTGCCCCATCTCTTTTCATTTTTCCTCGAGTCGTTCGCTCGCTCGCTCGCTCGCCTTACCGCGCGTACACGCGTGTATCCTCGACGATTCGGATCGATGAGCGAAGAATCGAGCGAAACGGACGGAGCGGTGATAAAAATTACACGGGGCCAACCTCCTCCCCCCCTCTTTTATCCGGCACATGCGCCGATCGATCCCTCGCGCGTTTTCCCAAACTTTTATTTACGCTCGGCTCGAGAGCCCCGTTAATTATTGCCACGAATACCCCGACGAATCGTAACCTAGCCGCGCGTTACCAGTTTCTCGTGAATTATTCCGTGTCGTTGGAAACGAGCTGACTGTCTGGCTTGTCCGATCCTTCTTTTTCTCTCTCTCTCTCTCCTCCTTTCCATTAAATACGTATATAAGCGCGTACGTTTATTTCGAGAATTCTCATCGATTACGCGTCGTTTAACCAGGCGTTGATCGATCGATCCGGAAGGAATTTCGAATCGATCGATGCGAAAGGAGAAATTGAAAGAAAGGGGGGAGAAAAAAATTGGCGGATCGCATCGCGCGACGTGGCGACGCGATCGTGGCTATTTCGATGAAAAATAAATAGACGAGAGATAAGTGGGAGATAGGTTGCGGCGCGCGAAAGTAGCCCGCGTCCGGGATCGTGATCGCGATACGAATCTCTCCCTCCCTTCGCCGCGCTCCTACCTACTCGATCCAAGTACGCGTGTATGTAGGTCAGCTATGCGCGGATCGCTAACTACGATGCCGACTACGTGCTTTCGCGGTAATCACGCCCGACCCATTTAAATATATTTCGCGATCTCGAGTCGATCGGGGATCCTCCTCAGAAGAAATTTTCGATCGGACGAGTTGCTCGCAAACTGGAATAGAGAAGAAATTGGGAAAAGGAAGAAAATCCAGGTCGAGGAAAAGAAAAAAATAGCGTATCCCGCGATCTCTCCTCTTTCAAGGGGATGACGAGAACGAGCCTTCTCTCAGAGAGATAAAGCAGCAAACATCGATATCGACGCGCGTTATTACGCGTTACGACGCGAGAGGAAGAAGTGATCTCGTCGCGGCGAAGTATAGGGAAAGTCAAAGCGGAGCGACAAAGCGTGACCGAACGATAAATATTTAAGGAGAAAAGAACGGCGAGATTTCGAGGCGACCAACGATCGTTCAAACTCGTTTTACGAGCTCGCGTGCGCGCGCCTACGATTCGTTCACGGTTTCGCGCTCATACGAGAGCTCGCTTTCCAGCTTGCTGCCTCGAGAACCGCCAACCGCCGTCCCTTTTTTCACTTAGGCAGCGCGGTAACGCGCTCTCTAGACGCGGCGCGGTGAGAATCGATGTTGCCGTCGTTTCTCTAAATTAAATAGAAAAAGGGGGGCGGGGAGAGGAAAAAAGAAAAGAAAGAAAGGAATAATCGCAGTACTCGTAAATAGTGGACGAACGGGACGCTTCGAGGAGGTCCACGAAGCGTTCTCCGCGATACACGATCGCGACGACACGATTGGACTCAACGAGCTTGTTCAGGAACATCAGCGACTCGCAGTACATCACATACATGACAAGTAAGTACGAAGAGCGGCGCAAAGTGGGCGCGTTGCAAGTTTATCTTCCGCTCGAGGACGCAAATTGCAATCGCGTAACTTTGCGGTAAATATATATATATGTGTGTGTGTGTGAGTGTGTGTGTGAGTGTGTGTGTGTGAGTGTGTCGAAGATTGGAAGAAGGAAAAGGAAGAGAAAGGAGAGAAAGAAAGAAAGAGAGGTTTGGACGACGTCTGAAGAAGTTTGTTTCGCGTGGCGTCCCTTGAACCGTGTTTCCACGCGTTTCAAGAGGGTCGTTAGAGTCGCGCGTGGAACCGGCGCGAATCGGCCTGTTTTCAAGGGCCGGTACTCGATTTCGCTCGGATGACCACCGCCGCCGCCGGCCATCTAAATTTCAAATCCGCTAATGCGTATTTTTGCACCGGGTCCGAGCCTCTTATCGGGGGGAGGAGGCTTCTACCGCTGCGCCACCGCTTTGAATTTCAAATTTTCGCGCGCGCGACCCGTGTCGAGCGTGGCACGGACCAACCTTCCAATGTTTCTGCCCGCTTATGCGATGTCGTTTGTTTCGCCCCCTCCTCCCTTTGCTTCTCCATCTACCCTCCCTCCCGATCTCCACGATATCTACCGGATTTTATTTATGGCGGCACCGACTACGTATCGGAATTGATTCCGTGATTTATTCGCGAACCGACCGATTCTCTTCGACCGGCCGCCGCTCTGGATATCGTCCAGAGAGAACGAGAGAGAGAGAGAGAGAGAGAGAGAGACGTACGAAGTAACGT